CCCCCCCCCCCCCCCCCCCCCCCCGCCCGGTACGCCTATGAAAATGCGGATAATATAGCCTTGCGAAATTTTCCGTTTTTCAGTCATTTTGTATTACAAACGGGAAATTGATGCCCCAACACCCGATAGGGCTGTCAATTTCCTGTGCGTAATACAAAATGACTGAAAAACGACAAACTTCGCATGGCTATATTATCCGCATTTTACAACATTTTGCAACGAAACTTCGGAATTTTACTAATTTTGTGATGCTCTTTCAACCTGTGATGAAATTTTTGTCTACATCAAAATTTAGTCTATAATGCAAATGGTCAATTAACGTTTGAATAATTTATAAACTTCAACAACGTTGTCATTCTGAATGCAACGCCGTTAATTAAACTAAGATTTTCGCGTAATTGGAGCAACGTGAATGCTTTACGTTTTCCCCAAACTTGGCCGTTTGCAAGGTTAATATTTTAAAAGCTTCAATAGTTCAATCTATTACAGTAATCAAGTTCCTTAGCTCTCAATCTTGAGCTGAAATTTTGACCTCGTCGTCGGGTTTGCCTCGTCGTCTTTTCTAAATCTGTCACTAATTATCAACGAGACGGCACCGATCTCGTTCCCCGAGCATGCCCGTTCGCAGGTTAAGCCTTAACCTGCGAACGGGCATGCTCGGGGAACGAGATCACAGAATAAAGATCAGTACCAGAAGGGCCACTCAGCGGTGCAACGTGTCCCCATTTTTCTATGCAAAAACATGCAATTGACTGGCTAGGGAGATGGCGGCCAGCCAATACAGCGCGTTCATTGGCCAGAAAATGTAATCGACTGGCTAGGAAGATGGCGGCCAGGGTGGCCCTTCTGTGTGCCTTATTCTGTGACGAGATTGAGACGGCACATGAGTGTTTTCGTAGTAAAACGACCTTCCCAGAATACTTGTTTGATTACGTACGAAGAATCCCACTCAGAGCCAAGCGCAAGGTCAAAGTACTGACAATGCTTTCATATTCGAATGAGCCAGTTCTTAGAACTTGATCATTTCTGTACGTTACAAAATACGAGAAAATTACTTTCTCAGAATAATAAAACATGCAGTTAAAGACAGAATATTACTTTTAATACTTTTTCAGAATTCATTCTTCACACGTTCGATTGCATTTTACGTTCAAGCAAAATCCTATATATTAATTGAGGACACACGTGACACGCAGTGGTTACAATGCATTTATCTGTGTTGCTAAACTGGCAATTCCTGCAATTTACAGAAATTGATTATAATTTCAACTCAATCATATGTAAACACCGTGCTTGTTAGAACTTTAGCCGTAGGCATAGAGACCGTCTGGTTGGCTGTCAGCCTTTATACTACGCAAAAATACTCCCTATAGATGACTATAAAAAGCTCGCGTAATTTCCCGACCCGCTACCGAAATTCCCGATGAAGGGCCTTACTCCTTTATAGCTTGAAACGTCGAATTTCTCCTTGTATTTTTCAAGTAGTTGCATATCCCTAGTACCAACCGGAGTTTTGTTATATTATTGGCATTTCCTACACTGGCACAAACATCCCTGCATTTAATATATTAAATCAGATGACAACAATAAATGTATCGAAATCGAAAGTGATAGCTACTGTACTTGCAAAATATTATGCAATTATTTAGCCCAGTTAATTTACTAAAGCGAAAACGTTTAAGTACCGGATCTATGTTGCCGTTTTACACACGCAGCGACGAATCTGATGGGAAATATCTAACCCGGGACAAATGAATGCATATCCATAGTCATAGAATGTTTTGTTTGTTTATATTCATCCGATTGCAAAGTGAACGCCCGCATCAGAAAACCAGCTGCATGTCTCCAATCTCCATATACTGTTCTAGTAGGGTTTACGTCAATTCAAATACTTTAATCTGGATTCTCAGTTTGTCTGCTGTATAAAAGTGTATATTTGAATACATGTATTTATTATCAAACAAACCAAGATATTGTGACTGCACAACAAACGAATATATATGCCCAGTAAACAACGTCATGTAAATATTTCGAAAACAAGTGCTTGAAATTGCATTACCGGATATGCCTTGGCTATATATGTTTACAAATCTCTTACCCTCTTATAGCGTTTATAAAGCTTGACTTTCCAACACCAGAATTGCCTGTGATACCGATGTTTATTTCGACATCTTTCCAGCGTCCGAGTTTCGTTTTAAAAAATTCCTCTATTCCTGAAACGCCATGTTCTTCGATATGGCCTTGGACGTCTTCCATAAACACAAATTCCCAGCTGGAGTCATCCATGTTCGTACAAATCTACAGTATGATTTAATGTAGCTTTTACAGTCTGATAAAAAACCCTACTTGAATCAGGCCTAATTGCAAGTGATAATGTTTCGTTCTGGTGTGTTTATGTATCGAAAGTAACTTTGGAATGATGTCATTTTTCCCAGAAGGATATTTCTGTGGGTTTTCCCATAAGTCGTTTTCTGGGATTTCCCTTGCAGTTGATGACGTAACAGGTATCAGTGAGCTCCATATTATACCTGGAGCGAGAGCTCGCGTTCCCGTATTGGGCCAAGCATAGAGATTCAATCTCGTTCCCCGAGCCTGCGATCCTCGGGAAGGAATCGAAGGCTCTGGGATAATCCGTTTCAGGGAGGAATCTGATTGGCCATTGATAAGGAATGCGTAGTTCAATCTTAGCCATGATTCTTGGCTTCCGGTAATGGATTATCCCAGAGCCTTCGATTCCTTCCCGAGGATCGCAGGCTCGGGGAACGAGATTG